TGTTCAGGACATTTATGATTTCTGTACTTGATGTTGGATGCTAAAACTTTTCAGAATTTATTATCGAACCTTTATGTTTTTGCCACGCTAGACTTCCGCTAAACTTTTCAGTACTTTTATCAGACTCTGTTTCCGATGTTCATCGGATAAGACTTTATAACCGTTTTATTTATCAGTTTAAAATTTGAACGGTTTTCAGAAAATCAAGTTTTTCACGGTAGCATCCCGATCAGTTTTCGCAAAAATTAGTATCTTATTTATTTATTCAGAAAATTTGCGAAAAACCGCGCACTCTGATGTATTTCAAATAGCGGGGTGTTACAATTTACTTTTCGAAGTACTGATTCGGAGTGTTACCGTAAAACATGACTTTACTTGAAAACCGTTATATTAAGAAAACAAAACGGTTTAGCATAATATAATCACCGATTATAAATCGGGTCTGAGTTTGGCAAAAACAGTAATAGTAGCGGAAAGCATAGTGTAGCCAAAACATAATTATACATATATACAAATGTCCTGAAACAGTCGCCAGCTCACTCCTCGGCTCCGACCCTGTGACCTGAAAAACATGAATAATGTGGGGGCGTGAGCACTAATCCACTGTGCTCCGCAGAAACTCATACTAAAGTAAACAGTGAAAATAATAACAATATCATGATCCTGGCATATATAACTGAACTGATACTGAACTGAAACTGAAACTGAAACTGATACCGGTACTGAATAATCATGATCTGATACTGATCTCGTGATAATCATCACCTGACTGATAACTGAACATCTGCCAGCATAAAAATGCCGGACACCATGTGCACACTCTAGTGGGCAGACTAAGGCCACTAGAACCCAAAATGGACCGCCGACCATTCCAAGCGGATACTGATAATACATACCTCAAACATGGTAGCGTAATTATAATCAATATAATACCCAGTCTGAGTCCCCACCTGATCCTTTGAAAATGAAAGGCAGTGCTGATATCTGATGCCTGATCAAACTGAAATATAATATAAATAATTACTAAGTACTATGCTGAGACTGATAAAATATCTGTTTAATATGTTAAGATGCTCTACTGGACTTGACATGATATTTGGATTTAATCGGTATAACTAGAACCGGTTATATACAGAACTGAACTGATATAAATTTACTAAACTGAACTGGACCCAGAAATTTAACTGAAAATGAGACTTGAACATGAACCGGGACTTGAAACATGAAAATATAACCTGAACCGGTCTGAACCGGCCTGGCCAGACCACTGGCCTGCTCTGGCCGGGCGGTCGGCCGCTGGCGCTGCCTGGACTGGTCGCGGGCACTGGCTGCAGGGCC